CATCGTACTGGAGTGAAATGATATGGAAGAAAATGCAGAATAGAACCAGTGAAGAGCAGAGGTGCCATAGGCACAATCAGAGAACACTGTATAAACATCAGAGGTCCAGTGAAGAGCAGAGGTGCCATAGGCACAATCAGAGAACACTGTATAAACATCAAAGGTCCAGTGAAGAGCAGAGGTGCCATAGGCACAATCAGAGAACACTGTATAAACATCAGAGGTCCGCGGTTGTTCAACGTCCTCCCAGCGAGCATCAGAAATATTGCCGGAACAACCGTGGACATCTTCAAGAGGAAACTAGATTTATTCCTTTAATGAGTGTGGGATCAGCCAGGCTGTGGTGGGTATGTGGGCCTGTGGGCCGCTCCAAGCAACAGCCTAGTGGACCAAACTCTCACAAGTCAAGCCTGGCCTCGCGCCGGACTTGGGCAGTAGAACAACTCCCAGAACCCCATCAACCAGGTATATGTGGGCCTGCGGGCCGCTCCAAGCAACAGCCTGGTGGACCAAACTCTCACAAGTCAAGCCTGGCCTCGCGCCGGACTTGGGCAGTAGAACAACTCCCAGAACCCCATCAACCAGGTATATGTGGGCCTGCGGGCCGCTCCTAGCAACAGCCTGGTGGACCAAACTCTCACAAGTCGAGCCTGGCCTCGGGCCGGACTTGGGCAGTAGAACAACTCCCAGAACCCCATCAACCAGGAATCAACCAGCACCACAACGATGCGGCTGAGACACAGAAACATCAGTGGGCCCAGCCAAGGCTCCTGAGGAAAGTGCTGGCTCTTGCGTCTGACGTCTGCCTGCCGACGTCTCCCTAGAAGGAAGACGTCTGGAAGTCCCGGGACATCCCCCCCCTCCCCTCCCCTCCCCCCCTCCCACCACTCCCCTCCCCCCCTCCCCCTCCCCTCCCCCCTCCCCCTCCCCTCCCCCCTCCCCCTCCCCCCTCCCCCCTCCCCCTCCCCCGGAGGCGCCTCTGGAAGTTACATGACTGCCCAACATCCTTGTCTCGTGTGACCTCAGACAATTGCTGGAAACTTCTGTTCCTCATTGACACCGAGTTTAGAGAAAGAGAAAGAAAGATAGTTATGAGGAGAGAGCAATTAGACTCTACCACTGTGAATGAGGCATGCTAACAAGGAGCTGGATTATGAAGATGATGTCCAGACCTGAGATTAACCACCAGCTTCGAACGCCAATCTTGCAAGAAGCGAGGCCAGTTCAGGTGAATAGAGAGGCGCTCTATCTGTGATTGAATAGATTACAGTAAATGCTTGTTCCCCCAGAGGATAACAAACCCCACAGAACAGCCTAATTGCTGTAGCCGTTAATGTGAAAACAATTTTCCATTTCAAAATTCTCCTGGCGAAGATCCCTTGACTACCTGTCCCCGTCGAGGCCACTAGAGATGGTGGCCCTCGGGTAAATCCAGGTATAGACGTTCTTTGTGGTCTAGGATGACATTACTAACTACCCAGGACTGCTTGACCCTGTGCGGTTGACAGAGCGATGCATGACTGCAGGTCATAGATACTACTACCTACTCTTGGGCTGCACCTTGTCATGCAACAGGAATAAGTAAGCCTCTGAAGCATGGTAGTCTTAGGTACCTACCACCTGCTTCTGCAATAAAGATTGCACTATTTATTTTAGTTTAGTTAATTTATTATGAGCCCCACATACCCATCCTGTGGGTGGTAGTAGACCCCATACCCATCCCGTGAGCGGTAGTGGACCCCATACCCATCCTGTGGGTGGTAGTGGACCCCATACCCATCCTGTGGGTGGTAGTAGACCCCCATACCCATCCTGTGGGTGGTAGTGGACCCCACACCCATCCTGTGGGTGGTAGTAGACCCCCATACCCATCCTGTGGGTGTAGTAGACCCCCATACCCATCTGTGGGTGGTAGTGGACCCCATACCCATCCTGTGGGTGATAGGGACCCCATACCCATCCTGTGGGCGGTGGTAGTGGACCCATACCCATCCTGTGGGTGGTAGTGGACCCCATACCCATCCTGTGGGTGGTAGTGGACCCCATACCCATCCTGTGGGTGGTAGTGGACCCCATACCCATCCTGTGGGTGGTAGTGGACCCCATACCCATCCTGTGGGTGGTAGTGGACCCCATACCCATCCTGTGGGTGGTAGTGGACCCCATACCCTTCCTGCGGGTGGTAGTGGACCCCATACCCATCCTGTGGGTGGTAGTGGACCCCATACCCATCCTGTGGGTGGTAGTGGACCCCATACCCATCCTGTGGGTGGTAGTGGACCCCATACCCATCCTGCGGGTGGTAGTGGACCCCATACCCATCCTGTGGGTGGTAGTGGACCCCATACCCATCCTGTGGGTGGTAGTGGACCCCATACCCATCCTGTGGGCGGTAGTGGACCCCATACCCATCCTGTGGGTGGTAGTGGACCCCCATACCCATCCTGTGGGTGGTAGTGGACCCCATACCCATCCTGTGGGTGGTAGTAGACCCCATACCCATCCTGTGGGTGGTAGTGGACCCCATACCCATCCTGTGGGCGGTAGTGGACCCCACACCCATCCTGTGGGTGGTAGTGGACCCATACCCATCCTGTGGGTGGTGGTGGACCCCATACCCATCCTGTGGGCGGTAGTGGATCCCATACCCATCCTGTGGGTGGTAGTGGACCCGATACCCATCCTGTGGGTGGTAGTGGACCCGATACCCATCCTGTGGGTGGTAGTGGACCCCATACCCCATCCTGTGGGTACTAGTGGACCCCATACCCCATCCTGTGGGTACTAGTGGACCCCATACCCCATCCTTTGGGTACTAGTAGACCCTATACTCCATCCTGTGGGTACTAGTGGACCCCATACCCCATCCTGTGGGTACTAGTAGACCCCATACCCATCCTGTGGGTGGTAGTGGACCCCATACCCATCCTGTGGGCGGTAGTGGACCCCATACCCATCCTGTGGGTGGTAGTGGACCCCATACCCATCCTGTGGGTGGTAGTGGACCCCCATACCCATCCTGTGGGTGGTAGTGGACCCCCATACCCATCCTGTGGGTGGTAGTGGACCCCATACCCATCCTGTGGGTGGTAGTGGACCCCCATACCCATCCTGTGGGTGGTAGTGGACCCCATACCCATCCTGTGGGTGGTAGTGGACCCCATACCCATCCTGTGGGTGGTAGTGGATTAAAGGTTACATAATCGCCTTAGGGACTGAATCCTAAAATTTCTGTAGCTTTAAGTAAGTTGCAGTTCTAACAAGGTAGTTACACAGGTTAACAGGTTCAAGAACCACTACAAGAATAGTTTCTAAGCGAAGCCAATTACATTTGCGGTGATGTAAGATCTGATCGCCCAAACTACAGATTACAATAATAATCGATGATTTCTGTGATTATCATCAGTGAGTAATATCAGAACGATCAGATTATCTTACCAAATGGCGATATTACCAAAAAAATCGAAATAATCTCCCCAAAGAAAATCGCGAGGAAAAACAAGATATGTTATCGATAAATCGGTGAATATAAATCACCTCCAGAAAGAAATCACCAAGAGAAATCACCAATCACCAAGAGAAAGATTTGTAAATGCCTAAACGGCTTAGGAGTTACCAGCTGGAGCTTTAAAGAGCATTAAAGAGCTTTAAAGAGCTCTTTTAGAAGCTTTAAGAGGGCCTCGGGTGCAGCGAGAGGCTGCCAGAGTCCTCCTGCCTCATCACCTCACTCTCTCTCACAACAAACTCACCAAGACCAAAATCTGTGAAAACTCGAGGAGTCTGAAGGAGCAACTTGTTGCTCGAGTAATCTGAGTGTCAACAGGTGCCGCGGGTGTGAGCGAGGCGGTGATGGCTCCACACCCCCGCCAGCCACACCCCTGCCAGCCACACCCCCGCCAGTCACACCCCTGCCAGCCACACCCCTGCCAGCCACACCCCTGCCAGCCACACACCCCCGCCAGCCACACCCCCGCCAGCCACACCCCTGCCAGCCACACCCCCGCCAGCCACACCCCTGCCAGCCACACACCCCCGCCAGCCACACCCACGCCAGCCACACACCCCCGCCAGCCACACCCACGCCAGCCACACACCCCCGCCAGCCACACCCCCGCCAGCCACACCCCCGCCAGCCACACACCCCCGCCAGCCACCCCCCCGCCAGCCACACCCCCGCCAGCCACACACCCCCGCCAGCCACACACCCCCGCCAGCCACACCCCCGCCAGCCACACCCCTGCCAGCCACACCCTTGCCAGCCACACCCCCGCCAGCCACACCCCCGCCAGCCCCACACCCCCGCCAGCCACACCCCCCCGCCAACCACACCCCTGCCAGCCACACCCCCGCCAGCCACACCCCCGCCAGCCACACCCCTGCCAGCCACACCCCTGCCAGCCACACCCCCGCCAGCCACACCCCTGCCAGCCACACCCCTGCCAGCCACACCCCGCCCAGCCACACCCCCGCCAGCCACACCCCCGCCAGCCACACCCCTGCCAGCCACACCCCTGCCAGCCACACCCCCGCCAGCCACACACCCCCGCCAGCCACACCCCCGCCAGCCACACCCCTGCCAGCCACACTCCTGCCAGCCACACCCCCGCCAGCCACACCCCCGCCAGCCACACCCCCGCCAGCCACACACCCCCGCCAGCCACACCCCCGCCAGCCACAACACCGCCTGACCTTTGCTCATCTCTGAACCGCACACTTATGGTTCGGTGGGGTGATGCCTCGCTGCTGCCGGCCCCTCCCTCATCTTGCTCTATCCCCCCCCTCACCACCCGCACCCCCAACCACACCACCAACACCCACACCCCCAACCACACCCTCACCCAACCTAGCAGTCGTGTAGCTCATCTAGCAGTGAGTTGTGTGCTCCAAGATGGACATGTTAATCCTCCTCACCCACACAAGTTCACCTAACAGCGAGCTGTTTCCACATGAAAAGCTTGTTGATGTCTCTTCCAGGATGCTGTTGATCTCTGGAAGGCTTG